AGATTTCAAAAAATATCTCAAACGCAAACGTAGGGATGTACTTGGAAGAATTGATAGTCCGTTTGAGAATTGAGGAAGAATAGAAAGACCGAAAAGAAGTCTATTGTTCAACCTGGAGCAAACTTCGTGGAATCAGGTTCGAGGGTCAACAAAAAGCGTAAGGTCTCGGGTAATGCACCAAAAAGAGACAACTCCAAGAATGCTAAAAAATTCAAAGGCAGCTGCTACAATTGTGGAAAAGTGGAACATTGCTCTAATGAATGTCAAAAGCCTAAGAAGAACACAAACAAATTTGGTTGAAAGAGACACCCTATCTAAAGGGGTACAATAGATAAATCTATTTGCGGTTATTTCTGAATGCAACAATGTTGGTAATCCAAGAAAATGGTGGGCCGATATGGTGCTACCCGCCACATTTGTGCAAATAAAACTACGTTCTCAAACTACAAAGAACTAAATGGAGAACACTTTTTTACGAGAAAGTCTACAAGCTTGAAAGTTGAGGGACAAGGGAAGATTACTTTGAAGATGACTTTCGGCAAAGAGCTCGTCCTCAACAATGTTTTACATGTACCGACTATTCGCAAGAACCTTGTATCCGAGTCTCTACTTAGCAAAAATGGCTTTAAACTTGTATTTATATTCGATAAATTTGTATTCCCTAAGAATGAGAAGTATGTAGGTAAATGATACTTATGTGATGAAATGTTCAAAATGAACGTTCTTACGATTAGATCAAACCAAAGCATTATGAATAAAAGTTTGAATTCTACTTATATGCTTAAATTGTCTTATTTATGGCATAATCGATTAGGATATGCAAATTACAAATATGTGCCTAAACTTATGAATCAAAATTTGATTTCAATGCTTAAATTTGATCCTAATCATATATGTGAGATTTGTGTTGAGGCAAAATTGGTCAAAACACATTTTCATTCTATTCAAAGGAACACGACACCTTTAGAATTAATTCATAGCGAAATTTGTGATTTGAAATTTGTTCAAAATAAAGCTGGAAAGAAATACTTTATATTATTTTTATTGATGATTATACAAAGTATTGTTGTGTGTATTTGCTAAGACGTAAAAACGAAGCCTTAAATGTTTTTCAACATTATAAGACAGAATTTGAGAATCAACTTAGAAAACGAATAAAGAACATTCGTAGTGATAAGGGAAGAGAATATGGGGAACCGTTTGAAGAATATTGTTCCAAACATAGAATCATTCATCAAACAATGATATCTTACTCACCCCAATCGAATGGTGCCGTTGAACGCAAAAACCAAACTTTTAAGCAAATGATGAATGCAATGTTGATAAGTTTGAGCCTCTGCGAATAGCATTCTAAATAAGATACTCTTAAAGAAAATGGATGAAATGTTATCCTCATTTGTATAAACACTTGAAAGTGTACAGGTGTTTGGGTAAAGTTGAAGTACCAAAACTGAAACAAGTGAAAATTGGTCCTAAAACGATTGATTGCATATTTACTGAATACGCCAATAATAGTAATGCATATCGTTTTCTTGTTCCTAAATAAAATGTTCAAGACGTACATGAAGA